TAGCAATAGTGGAGAGGGTGCCTGAACTGACCTTCCCCTGTAATCAGATTGATGACTACCCTAATTGCCATCATAGAGCCTCCATCCAGTGCTTGATGGAAGCAGATGCAGAGATACACAGCTAAGCACTGGACTGAGCTCCCGGAATCCGGTCAAATTGATGAAGGGGGGGGATTATATGAGCAAAGGGGTAAAGATCATGATGGGGAAATGCACAGAGACAGCTGACCAGAGCTAGTGGGAGCTCACTAACTCTTGACTGATAGTTGGGGAACCTGCATAGGACTGAAACAAGCCCCCTGAGTGTGGGTGACAGTTCTGTGGCTTGGGTAGTCTGTAGGGCCACTGGCAGAGAGACTTTTTGGAGTCCATCCCTATTGAGGCATACCTTGATCAGCCTTGATACAAGGGGGAAGGACTTGGTCCTGCCTCAACTTGATATGCCAGACTTTGTTGACTCCCCATAGGAAGCCTTACCCTTACTAAGGAGTAGATGGGATGTTGTGGAGGGGGGAAGATGGAGGGGAGGAGGAGGTGGTGAGGGAGGGGGAACTGTGGTATGTAAAATGAAAAAACTTTTAAATACATAAAAATAAAAAGATTTAGTTAATTTTAACTAAACCTTTTCAATCCAAAGCTCTTGTCATCTGTTTGTGTAGGGTTCCTCAAGCCAATAATGCAAGAAAGTGGGAATATCATAGTGGTGGGTATAGCCATCTTTGAGTATCACTATAATGGTAGGTGCTGTTAGATAAAGGGGCAGGGAGGAGTATATCAGAAACTCAAGGTTGGCTTTTTGTGCTTCTAAGCACAATTACAGCAGTCATAGCATGCACCAGGCAGAGTAACTGGAGCCTCAGACTGATCCATGGTAAATGCCTGGGGTGTTTTTGTTTGTTTGGCTTGGCTTGGCTTGTTTTGTTTTTCTCACAGTAAACTAGCATAAGCACCAAAGATCAGGAGGAGAATCTAGAGTGGATAGTCCACAGATATGAATGTCCTTGGTATTGATTGAAATAGCTCATCTTTTTGTTGAGATTTGTTTTGCTATATTTAAATGGGATTATGATTGTCCGACATCTTGAAAAATTAATAGTCAAAGTAAACTTAGGGTGGGATGGAAACTGATCACAGCAGTGACCTGTTGCTCCTTTTACCCATATTGTCATTTCTCTTGCTGTTTTTTCCTCACTTACACACTCAGGGCTCCTCGCCTATGACCCTCTTCTTGAGCATTCTTCAGTCATGAAGCATATAATGTCTAATATTGCACTGACCCAAAGTGCCAGGAAATTAGTTCCCTCAGAAAAAGACCTTAACTGCTGTCACTCAAGAGTGAGTGGATAAATAATCAATCATTGTGACTCTCAGTAAGGACAAGGAAAAAAGCAAGTACATAAAATGCCCTAGAAACCTCTCCACAGGGTAGAGCCTGATGTGGGCTCATGAATGAAACTCACATTGGCTTCATCCCCTTACCTAACTTCCTTTAGTCCCTCCATTCCTTCTGTATTGAGCACTACTGTCTCCTTAGGACGAGGTGACTTGAGTCATTCACAAGAAAATAGTTTCTTTGATAATAAAAGTAAAAGAAATCATTGCAATAAATTTTAAAAGAAGGTTTAAAATTGGGGCAATAACTTGGCATGATGTAAGGCAGGTTAGTAAGGCAAAACAGTGACTTCATAAAAAGCTGACCAAAGGTGAACCTTTTTAAAGATTACATAGGCAAGCAATGATGGTGGCTTGAACCAGGATTTTAGCAGCGGAAATACATTACTTGTTAATTCTAGGAAAGAATCGTGGTTCTACATAATATTCTTATTAATTGAGTCTGCAGTTTTAATCTGGTAAGTCTGTCTCAGTGTTTCAATCTTGGACTAAGGAATTGGCTTAAACATCTTTTCCCATCCAGGGATCGGTATGGGACCGTTAATCTCCTTAGGACCATTTTCCAACTAATCAAGTTAACATTTTACAGAACTTTAATAAAAAGCCTATGATAACAAAACTGCAGTTCCTTGGATCTTTGACACACCATTTTCATCATTGTTACAATGGGGAAAGTATAGTATGAGGATTAATTAAGTCAAAGATGTGAAGCCTGGATTCTGAAGTTCAAATATATGTCTCATCCTGTAATGTGCTGGGGACATTTACCATGCCTCAGTTCCCTTGTTATAGAGTAGAGGTAACAGTAGACTCTACCTCACAGATCTGTCTGTGAAGATGAAGATAATTTACCTAGAAATATAAATTGCATTATTAGACATCCTCCAGAGAATTAACATATGAGAGTATTCTCAACTTTGTGTCAACATTTTTGAAACTTAAAATGAAAAAGATGAATTTCAAGAGACATGGGCCTGGCAATAGAGGAGTGGTTATATTATGTGTGTGGATCCCTGGACCCAATCCCCGACACTAAAAGCAAACTTTTCCTTCTCAAAACCAATTCCAGCAGAGATAAAAGATGAGAATGTACTGCAGCCCCCATAAGCTCACCTCAATAGTATGATAACTAAGGCACCTTAGCATCCCTCACTGCATGGTTCTAAAAACTACTTTAGAAACAATACTCAAAATCTTTCTTAAACTCTAGTTAAGGAAGTGCGGCATGTTTCAGAATACATGTCATGATTTTAACAATATCTTGTTGCCCATATTCAGTGAGAAAAGTTCTGAAAGTGAAAGAAATCACAGGCTGGCTTACCCTATAAGTGTAAATACCACAGAGTGAAGAAGACACGTCAGCACATGCAATCTGACCACGAGAGACTGGGCAGTTGTGCTGGTGTCTGTGTGCCAGAATGATGCTCAAAACCATTGTGGATTCTCCCTGTTTTCTGTGTCTTTAGCTGTTATCAGTTGGTCATGGTATCTTATTTCTGAGTATACCTTCCTGCCTTTTCATAACTTGAAGCTGTAATGGGAGAGACAGGGTGTTGGACCTTCTTTTGCAGAGAAGGGAACTTTCCTGTCCCAGTTGTGGAATGACCACTAACACAGATCATTTCCATCTCAGAGCAGCTAAGGAAGGTGTGGCTGACAGTCAACATGGATGCTGCTTTATCTGGGGGTTACTCTAACCTGAGCCTGAATACTTTGGGTTTTACTGAGTCAGGGTAGAAAGACAGAAACTTAAAGTGACAGGGGAAAGGAAGAGGGAGGGAAGGGTGGGAGAGACGGGAAAAAAGGAAGGGAAGGGAGGGAAAAGAGAAAAGGGGAAGGGAATCCCTGGCTTTGGAGTCTGATCAAAGTCTCAGATTAGGCATTCCAGGGCATTAACAAAATTTGCTATGAAGATGGCATACATAGAGACAATAGGGAGATACTTTAAATAAGAATGCTAAAGGAACAATGTGCCATGCTTAAGGTTTAAACACAATCTTGGAGTATGGTCTTACTCCTTTCTCAAAAAAAAAATGAAAACATGTATTAACTCCCTTATACAATCCTTGTACCTATGGTTTAGCTTTATCAGCTTGTAATCCTATTCAGCGCATCTCCCAGAAACCCAATTATCTCATTCACTTAGGGAAAGGTGGGAGTTCAAACATGTAAAAAATCAGACCCACCCAAATTTTATATGCAGCTGTTGCTGACACACTTGAATTCTCTGAAGAAGCCCAACCCATACTTAGGCACATACTCTCACTTCCCCAAGCATCTCTCCCCCACCACCCGCCCTGTCCCTAGTGTTCCTATTAAATGTCTTCTAATAATAAACTCCAATGCTGCTTCATATTGACTTGTTCTGAAATTCTTCCCTGTTTCACTGTAGAGGTCTCTGAATAGAACTCCTCATGCCACTGCGTGGGGCAGCAGGAAGTGTGTCTCTGATGCCCACCCACTCCCACTGACATTGTAAATATGAGGGCTGATATCAGATATTCATACTGGATGGGCTTGACTTTTGTTCTCCTTCCCAGGGGGTTCTGCTGTAATCGCTTTTGCAGCATTTCCTCTGGACCATCAATTAGCCTCAAAAAGTATTAAAGATAACTTTTCTATTTCTTTCCCTTTTTGTATAGTAAACTTTTAATGAGTAATCATATTTAATTTTTAAGTGAATATGCTACCATATTTGAAAAAGTTCTGGCACGATTTAATTAGAAAGAGTAAGTAGCATTCAATAAAACTATAAAAACTGATGCTACATAAAATACACAGTGAATAAATTCAAATATATATATATATATTTCCTATTTCATCAAGATTTTTTTACTTGTTTTCAGCAAAAAAACATTTGTTCTAATTGTCACTGCTGTAGAGAGCATAGGATGTCCAAGGAATATATATCTTATGTTTCAAATTCCACTACTTAACTCATCAGTAAAATAAGGCATTAACAAAGGTAATACTCACAGCTTACTGTTTTCTGTGAACATTAAGCAACCTAAATTTAATGCATTAGATCACTTATCTTTTATTTTATCTTTTAATAATTAGGGGCTGGAGAGATGGCTCAGATGTTAAGAGCACCTGCTGCTCTTACAGAGGACCTGGGTTTGTTTCCCAGAATCTACGTGACAGCTCACAGCCATGTGTAACTCCAGTTCCAGGAGTCTGGTACCTTATACTGGACTCCATGGGCATCACAGATACACATGAAATATACACATACACACAGGCAAAACATTTATACACATAAAATAAAAATAAGTAAATCCAAAAAATAAATTGCAGTTATAATAAGAAACAAAAAGTTACATTATTCCTTTGACTATGTGGCTTTTGAGATTTTATTTCACCCAGAAATAGACTCTAAACTGAAATCATTATAACATCTCTAACCAAAACCACAAACAATATTCTGAAGTTTTCCTTCTCTCCTTGTGTTGAATTACTTTTCCTGAGGAGGCATTTATAAAATGTCTAATCACTGACAGATAAGTCACCAATAAGAAACCCAAACCAAGGTTCTACCCAAGTCCAATTTGGTGAACCAAGGAGTTTATTGGTCTGACTTACATGAGTGTGGATGATGGGTTACTTACAGGAATGTGGGTGACTCAATAACAGCTAAGTCACTGAAAAGTCACACACTGTCACAACCTTGGGAAAGTACACTATGGAGTTCAGCATTCTCTAGCATCTCCCATGATCACCTGCAACTGGAAAGCAGAGATGAGTGATGGGTGAGAGGCTGGGTGAGGGTTGATGAGATCCTGGGTGAGGGTTGAACGCCTTCTTTTGAATTTTACTATTGAGTTCTAGCAGCTCTATTACCACCTAGTCTGTTGATTACCATGACTACCAGGTCACACATTCCACTGGTCACCACAGCAACCTCTGCTATGATGCCAGACCTTGAAGAAATCATTTTACCAAGGAGTTTACAAGGCTTTGCTCTTTGCTCTGGAACCAAATATGAGTGGTCATGGTCTGGGAATATTGGTTCAATTGCCTCAGATACCACATGCTCCTGGGTAGTAAGAATTCCATCAAGTCTTTATAGTCACAGAAGAAAAGAAAGCCTTAAATCAAGTCACTTGTCAAATACATTAATGGAAACATGAGATGAGTTACAGAGAAGTGGGGGAAAACCTCTGCTCTTGGCTTCAGATATTTGGTGGTGGAATTCTTACAGTGTGGCCAGTTAATACCTCCCAAAGGGTTCCGATGGAAGGATGTTATGACAGCACAGTTTGACAACAAATGTATTCCAAATCTTCACAATCAGAGCATCCTAATAGACTTCTAGAATCTTTAACATGGGTATGGCAAACAAAACAAAACAAAACAAAACAAAAAAACATGGAGATGACTTTTCTTCTGAGAACTGCAGTAATTTTTTTCACTCTGTTGATGAGAATGTTTAAAATTCAGAATTCAATTTTACTTTTCTTGAAAATTATAATAAGACCACTATAACCAGTAAAGTGTAGAAAATGCCTTGGTTCAAAAATTATAAACTAGGCTGGGAGGATGGATCAGCAATTCAGAGCACTGACTGCTCTCTCAGAGGACCCTGGTTCAAATCCTTGTACCTACATGACAGCTCACAGCTTCTGTAACTCCTTTTCCAGGGGATTCAGCACTATCTCCTGGCACTCATGGGTTCTTTGTGCACATGGTATGCAAATATACACACAGGGAAAGCACCTATTCAAATAAAAAATTAAAAATAAAAATAAATCTCAGAAAAAAATGTATTCTGAAGACTGGTAAGAGTAAGTATAAGCATTGCAGCTTGGATGGAAAAGCATCCTGGCAGTCGGAAGCCAAGGAATACCACAAAGTCACTGTAAGCATAGGAGCTTACCGCCCTGCTCCAGGGATAGATTCCCCCAGTGCAAATGTAACAACTCTGCTCTAGCAGGAGAGGATTTTCCAGGGAAAGTGTTACAGTTCTGCTCTACTCTGCCTACAGCAAAAGTTGTTACAGCTGCACCCTGCTCCTGCAAAAGTGTACACCACACAACAAACCTCCTTCAAGAGATTTATTGAGAGGAAAGAATCTAGGAGATTGCTGCTTCTAGGGTGAGAAGCAGCAGCAAACTGAACAGGGGGTACAGAGCTTATATAGGGTTTCTTCATGGGTGGAGCTTTTCAAGGTGGCTTGGGATTGGTGGGATTTTATAATCTGATTCTGGGCAAACTCAGGGATTGGTGAGATTCTGTTCTCAGAGATTGGCGGGAATCTGCAGCCTGATTCTGGGTAGGATTTCAATCCCTGATCCTGGGATTAAGTCATAATCAGGGTGTTTTTCCTTGGCCCAGGTCTAGGGTCTAGCCAAGGGCAGGCTGATTTTTCCTTGGCACTTGCACCCTGCACTAAGAAGTTCCATTTTGAAATCTCTGAAGATGTGAACACTTGAGGCCTGCCCAGGAAGCAAGAGCTGAGTTCACTTTATTTTCAAATCCAAAAATACTCATTTTATTGGGATTACTATACCAGTGGACTGGAGACTTCGGATATCAAAATAATAAAATTATAAACCATGGCTGGGTGCTAATCATGTACTCAACTAGATGACATTTCTCCAACTTCATGAGCTTCTCTGTAGAGCACATAATGATACTAACTAACCTGTATGGAGACCAGGCTGGGCCATGCTCAAGCTTATTCCATACTGAATGAAACACTGCCTTTGGACTGTCCCTCTCCCTGGATGATTTCATTTATAGGGCAGCAGCTGGCTCAACTTTGAATGACAATTACAGCGGTTGGATAACTCTGTGTCTTGCTTTTGCTGGTAAACACCACTACCTGTCCAATGTGAACCACAAGGCACAGATTGATAAATAATCTATTTGTAGAATTAAAACTGTATGTAGGTTGAAAGCACATGGGCTTATTATAAATATCAATATCAGAAAAAAAGCAGGCCCTAACCTTTACTGAATACTCTGGACCAGTGGTTCTCGATCTGTGGGCTGAAACCCTTTGGGGGTCACATATCAGCTATCCTGCATACCAGCTATTTCCATTATGATCCAAAACAGTAATAAAACTACAGTTATGAAGTAGCAACAAAATAACTTTATGGTTGGGGGTCAACACACATGAGGAACTGTCTTAAAGGATCAAAGCATTAGGAAGGTTGAGAACCATACAATGGATGCACCACTTCCTGAATCCAATTAGAAAGGGGGCAACCTCAACTTGATATGCATGATTTGTTGATTCTTATGAGAGGTCTTACCCCATCTGAATGGAGACAGAGGGGTGAGTGAGGGGAGTAAAAGGGAGGGGGAGGTAACAGAAGGAAAGAAGGGGGGATCTGGTTGGTAAGTAAAAAATATGAAAGAGGGAAAGGGGCCAACCTAAGAGCTAATGAACTGTTTCCAGGTTCTCACTCCAGCCTCCACCTGAATGGTTTCACTAGTGAATTCACGGGATACATGCACAGAATAGACAACAGAAACTACTACCTTAGGAATATTCTGAGGTACTCTAAAGTGTCAGAAAAGGCAGCAGCCACAGGGACCACTGTGTACTATGTAGGGAACAATCTCAAGTGAGAGTAGACAAAGGCCAGAGAGAACATGGTGCAAACCTGCATTTTAGGTAGAATTTATACTATTTGTAAGGTCTCCAGAACAGATGGCTTTCCTTGGGCATGTTTCCTGACCAGGTGGTTGACAGATCAGCTATTGAATGAAGTGTTTGCTTGTTTGTTTTCCCAATGCATGCATGTATACCAATGTGTGAATGAACCGCACAAGTTCTGTAGTATGAATGTAGAAGTTAGAGCAACCCTTACTTTTCACAGGGTCCACTGGGCTTCTGGGGATTCCCTTGTCTCTGATTTTCATTTCCCCATAGGTACACTGGGATTATAGAGCCTGGTTTTTAAACAGCTTTGGAAGGAAGCTGAACCCAGGTAGATCATGATGCTAACAGTAAGCACCTCTACCCACTGAGCCATCTCCCCAGCTCTAGGTTTTCTGAGAGTGAGGACGATGGAATGTCTTTCTTCTTTTCCAGAAAGCTTCCAGATAGATAGCAGTTTAGAGTGTCCTGTTTCTGTCTAGGCCTAGATAGGACACAAATCTCATTCTTTTCACCTGTTTCCAAAGTCCTGCAGCTTTGGCCTTCACTTTTACAAGCAGCTGACTGAGGAATGAAGCCATCAATGACTTTCAAGCCCATACTCTCTGACTATCCTCCTAACACAATGACCTGTCACTTGATGTCCTTTTGCATAGCTCAAGAGACCAAGAGGTAGAAAACACCCCAGTGCCCCTGGGTCTTTATTAAACATAACCCCCATTGCTTAACTGACTTGAATTACCATTGATTCATCCACCCACTCTCCAGGCCTGGGTACTGGGCCTCATCTCATTGTCTTGCAGCATGCCTTGCTGATCTCAGTGGTGTTGCAGCTCATCTTTGACAGTGCTAAGCCTCTGCATCTAGGCTCTACCTTGAAGCTCTGCTTAGCTTGCCTCCAGCAGCTCTCCAGCTGGGCTAATTAATATCTTATGTAACCACCTGCAGTGACTCTCTGCCTCTGTACTGTCTCTGTTGGTGCCTCTTCCTCCAACAATGCCCCTTTGAACTCTGCCCTCTTTAACTCATTTGTAGCCATGCACACACACACACACACACACACACACACACACACGGGGGAGGGGACTGTAAAACATGTAATCTGAAGGTTACTATTGGAGATTAAAATAAGAACTGGCCTACTATCCAGTAAAATCAGGATTACTTGGTGTATTACAGCCAACAAAAAAGAAGTAGCTTGTCAACTGATAATTATTCAATAGATTCTGAAACTGTAGAAAGACACTAGCATGTCTGTAGATATTTCTAGCATAACACACCATGGCACCTGAGATCTGTAGGGAATTATCCATACCAAGATAGTGCGGTGATTTTGTACCTAGGCAACAGCCTTTTCCCAAAGCCTCTGAGCCTGGACATTTCCCCTGCACACAAGCATCCCTGTTCCTCTGACCTGAGTGCATTTGGGCTTCCCTCTAAATACGTGCTGATTTCTAAAGATACAGGTTTTACTCTGCTCTCAAAACATGATGTCATTTGTTTTGAGCAGTGAGAGGATACCTGGAGACCTCCCAAGCCAGAACAGCTGCTGTGAGAGTTTGACTTGCTTGCCAAATCAGAAAAGAAAGAAAACAGTGGGAACACACACACACACACACACACACACACACATGCACACACACACACGTACGCATGCACACTACCTGGTTATAAAGAAAACTACTTTAGAATGCATCTCATCAAAGTGAGAATTGTCCCATGAGTACTCCTGGTTCTCTGTAACATACATCTTCCAATGTGTTCACCTATCATCCAGATGTTTTTCATCACATTGCATAGCAAATGCCAAGCTCTTGCAGGCATTATAGAAATTACTGTATCTGGCAAATTTGCATTTCGGTGGGAAGGTCAAATATACACTCTATCTTTAAGCATGGTATTTTCATGCACACTGTCTTTTAGAAACATTTTAAATTACAAGCATTTGTGGGAGGAGGCACACCTGTATGAGGAGGTCAGCACACAATTTGTGGGAGTCAATTTTCTCCTCTATCCTATGTGGTCACTGGAGACAACTCAGGTTGTCAAGTTTGATGGCAAGTGCTTTTTCCTACTGGGCCATCTTGCTGGTCTCTGAACAAACAGTACGGAAAAGTGAAAATACCTAAAAGCAGTTGTTCATTCAACTACAACTGTTTGATGATGCTATGCTTTTAATAATTTATTACTTTTAAAGCATAAGAACAGATACAAATTGTA